CTTGAAGAAAGTGCTGGAAGGCAGGCTGCAAATCCCGTTGTTTTTGCAGACCGTTGTGAATGGCGCGGAGGAGCTGAGGAATTCAGATGTGATTTCGGCGCAGAGTGTGACACTGCTGCAGCGGGAACCGGCCAGAATCAGCACAGATGCTTTTCTGGAAAGCATGGTCTATTGCCGTGAAAAATGGGAGGACACCTCCATTCTGCGAAGGTTTCACGGATTTGACACTTCCACAAAGTTTCCGACAGACAAGAAGGCGCTGTTGGAGTGGACATGGAACTTCCGAAATATGAAGCACACACCCTTCTCTGCAGATAGTTTTGTTGACTGTGTTGACTGTTGGCTTCAGTTGAACGAGGGCCGGAAGGGTAAGCACCCAGAGGCATTCATTTCCGAGATTGCAGAGCTGACCTTTCTTGAGAGTCAGTGCTTTAGGCCGTCCCTGCTACCATATTCCGAGCCTTATGTTCATGAGTTTGACGTGGAGTGGGTCTTCTTCATCGTGGGCCGTTTGCGCGCACCGCAGACGCTGGCGGTGTCCTTTTTGTTCAACTTGTGGATCTGAGGCACGTATCACTGCTAGGCCCCCCCAGCTAGGTGCCCTTTTACATCCTTTTTTGGGGGAGGATAAGTTCCCCTACAAAAAATAGACTACAGAAAAAAAGGGTACCCCTTTTCGGTCCTCTCTACTGGAGGACCTAGACTGTGACTTTGAGCATGGTAATGGGGCCAGTAACACGTGCACCATAATGACGTAGCAAGGCAAATACATGCTGAAGGCCCAACACATCGCCGATTCTTATTTCTGATTCTCGGTACATCATCGCATTGCAAGCTATGTGCAGTGAGTGCGAGCAATGCAATGTACAGCTTTGGACCTGGAAAACAAGAGTAGAATAAATATGTAAATCAAGCATTTGCGCAGAATATACATATGCGTTTTATCCCGGATGCCAGGGTCACTTGAAGCAAGGCCACTCGAAAAGCGGTTTTATCACCAGACTCTCTGGGCTATATATATATTATGGATATATATATATATATATTTATGTATCAAGGGTAAATCTTGTAAACGAGTATTATGCTTTCAGAGTTACATTTCTGCTTTGGGTCTGGTCTACGTGTCGCTGCAAAGCCGGGGGGGGGGGGATCTTCGACCGAGGGGTGCATAGTTAACCCATGAAATTATCAAACATGGTCCGGAGGGCTGATTCGGTTTCATGTTGGCCCACATTGGCCCCACGGTCCAAAATAGGGTTCTCAATTTGCACATCCACTCCAACATCCACTTCGGGATTCATATCCCTGGTAAATGACATATTCTTGCGAACGGCACACATGGCAGAACTCATATCGAGTGGCTTTGCGAAGAATTCCTTCAGTGCCCAGTCGGGTCTTAGACGCAGTCTTGTCCGCTTTCTCCCCGAGGGGCTCGGGAGATTGGCTGAGGTGGTGCATTTGGGCGAGGAGGAGGCGGGCCTTACACAGCTCGAGGGTTCGCCAACTCACACATGCACGCTATATCGCCACAACATGAGGCGTATATGCAAAGCAAACATTTGGGTTGCTTTTCTTTCACGGGTGGGGTGGGGTGGGTTGGGTCGGGCTGTGGAAGCCCTCTTGGATCTTGTAAGTGTGGAGCAAGACAATGACGAATTGCTAGGGCAACATCTATTTATGCACGCACAGTTTTTGCCACAAACACACACACGCCGCTTTGGATGTTTGAGGAGCTAGCCGCAGTTTCTGTCATTAGTCGCATGAGTGTAAATTGGGTTTCAGACCGCCGCTTTCTATTTCTATTGTGATAAAGTCGTTGTTGGCTGGAACTCAACCCCACGGTATCACAGGGGCGTTTTCATTTTCCACATTCCGTGTAGCTTTTCTGACAAGGGGTTGGGACCAACTTCACCCTCTAAACCACAACTGATCGAGCATATGGAAGTCCAAGTCTCCCGCTTCAGATTTTGACTTGATACATTCAAGCCGTCACCAGCTCGGAACCAGAATCCTGAACATATATATATATATTAGTATTACATATTTTCCGACTTACATACACGTCTTGGGCATGTTCAATTCTTTCCCAGCCCACTGGGACTCAGGACTTTGGCCGAGAGGTGGAGTCCCTGGTGCACTCCTGGTGCAGCCAGGCAACGAGAACTTTTTCTCTTTCACGCGTGGGGAACCGATCGGCAAGCAGTCCACACGAAGCGAAGGAACCGATCGGCAAGCATAAATAAAATATGGTCGGTGTTGTTTCTTCTTTTTTTTGTTCGGGGGGGGGGGTGGCTGGGCACGCTGAGTTTGCAAAGGGTTCTATCATGAAAGGCGATCTTGGTTCGCAGAGTCAGGGCCAATGGGTGATTTGATCGGCGAGCATTTGAGAAAATCATGGGAGGTGGCCGAGCACCAGCCAGTCATTCGAGAAAGCATTTCGGGGTAAATGACTTTGGGGTGGATTTCCCTTGCAGGCGTTGGAACAAGTGGTTGAAGCCACGTTTTGAGTTTTGGCTCTGTCAGAGTTACATACGCTCTCGAATATTGGGGTGAAAGCGATGCACAGATGCATTGAGCGCTTGCCGAAAGGGTACGAAGTGACCCCCGTAATTCAGAGACTTGCTAAGGCCGAAACGGTCAAAGGCATGGGCGATTTGCTTGGATGGCATTTGAGGGTTTGGCGGTTTGGCGGTTTCTGACGGCTGACAGCGGAGGTGGAGACACAGTTCGAGAAGCTGGAGGTCGGCCACACCGCCGCGCGGCTGTTGATTGGGTTGGTAGAGAGCAGAATCGGGTTCTGCGCAACATCATTCTGGAGGTTGTATGGGCGGGGTCTAAGGGGTTCCCTAAGGCTCCCGAAGGGAACTTAAGGAACTCTCGGGCTCACCCCTCTTGTACCCACCCTGCTTCGGGATTCCATAATTCCACGTTTCTTGGTGGTAGGGTACTACATAGTACCAGAGACGCTGCTGGGTGCACTTTCCACCCGTAGAAGACCAACCCTGTGCTTGTGCAAAGGGCCCGTGGCACCAAGCCATGTCTTGGTAGGACAGAAGATGCGACACGGGCTTGTTTGTTTGATGCCTGCCATTCTTACCCATTCTTAAGAACGCTTGATGGGTTTACCTCAGAAACCGGTAGCTTTCTCTCGGAAGTGTGTTAGATGTTTCCCTAAAAAACGGCAAGAGCACCAGCCGGTATCATGTTGCATCCAATGGTAGGAAGTAGACCCCCCAAGACTGGCACACGTTTGTTTCGAAACCCAGTCCAATTTTGCCTCACCAAGTTAAAAACAAACTCGGTGCTTATCCGCGAACGCTTAGCAATGGCAAGGGGTTTTCTGGCAGATCGAGGCGGGTCTGGCTCCACTTTCACCGCTCCCAGGTTAAGAAGCTCTGCGAGTTCGCGCGGGCGCCAAGCTAGGCACATCATGCGGCCGTTTTACTCCAAGGATCCTTTTTCTTGCGGAGTCTCCTGGTTGGAGATTACAAGTTTGTTTGGCCCTAGCAAGGCCGGTCTTGAGCTTGGCACTGTAAGGGTCAAGGTTTCGGAGGAGCGCCGCTCGGGTGGGCAGATCTAGTGGCCTCAGACACGGCTCTCTCCTCAAAGCTCTACACTTTTTCCTGGCCATGGCATGGAGGTCACATTCTAGGGGACGGTTTTAACCACAAAGGGGCGCGGATCTCCGCCCAAGGATTCGTTCCGTGGCTCCGGCTCAGGTGTTGGTTCCATTGCTGGTGCTCGCCTACAAAGAGCCGGCGACGCCGGCCTTCTTGGCTCAGTGTGGCCACTGGCAAAGGTCAGAGGTCAGAGCCTTCAATCCCCTGAGCTGCACCAAGCCACTCCTTCGCCGAACCTGTTTTTGGTCCAGCCCTTGTATGTTTGGTGAATTTTTGGTGCAGGCGCGAAGAAAAAAAGCCACTTCCTTTTTCGAGCTGAGGATTTGGGACCCTTGGATTCGAAGCCGTCGGCCAGACGGCCAGACGCCAGGCCTCGAGCTCTTCGGAGCTCCTGAGCGAGGCGCTGCGGCACCTCGAGGACTCGGACATCCGGGAGAAAGAGCTTGCTGCCGCTGGGGGGTGTGGGTGCCTCCTTTATACATATTATTATTAGTATTGTTACTATTTTTCCGGAAACGCCAGCACCGAAGGAAACCGAAAGGGGACCGGGCAGCTAGGAAAGGTTTTTGTTCCTCGAGAGGGCTAGATGTTCGTTGAGTCGGAGAGGCTGGTGGGTGCAAGCCATTGTGCATTGCCGGGTGAGGACTATTCAACCTTGGTAGCACCCTGGCTCATTGTGATGTGGGTGGTTTTGCCCAAAAGCTGGAAAGGGCATTTTTTGGGGGGAAACAGACACAAGCCACATATGGACCATATTGACAGGTTTGTTGTACGTCGCTTTCCAGCTTTCACTGCATGTTCATGCGACGCTCACGAAGTTAAAGTCGATCGCTTCCTGGGTTGCCCAGCCATCGCGAGCTTCAAATTCAATGCCGCTCTTGTTCTCTGTCAAAACCAGTTGGACACCAGAGTGGTTGGCAAGTCACGATGCTTTCCACTGACCTATCACATCTCAGACAGAGTCATTCAGAGCTGGAGTCTGCAGAACTTGTTAAGCCATGCTTTCTCAGATGAACAGGGGGTCCGCCTTAATGTGGGGCTTTATGGGTTCAAGTTCAATCTGCAGCGGAGCAGTTTTGCCCTCACTCAGGATCTGGGAAGCGCACACAGCGCCAGGCCGGCATACCTCGAGCGAAGAGGAATTCACCGCTGAGGTTGTGCCACCAGGCAAAGCTCAGGATGGGTTTTCGAAATGCACAATTCCCAAAGCTGGATGTGGTCGCCTTTGGCTTTCTTTTGCACCCTCGACGAAGGTTTCCCCAAAGGAGAGACCGAAAGTGAGGGTGCACAACCCATGCTTGTCCCTTTTGCTTTCATTTCCCCAAGCAGCGCCTCTTCTCAAGCGAGCTCTTCCTCAACGCCTCTCCCAACTCAGTCAGCATGGCAGAGAAGGAAGTGGCGGTGCTGGGTTGCGGCGGCGCTCCGTCGCTTCCGCCGAGCTGGGCCAGTCTGGTCACAGACTCGGACTGGCAAGCGACGACCAAGGCGCTGGACAGAGCGTCGAACATCATGGGCTTGATTTTTTTGGCCTGGGCCGTCGTGCTGGCGGGCATCGTCGCGGCGCTCGCCTTCTCACTGGACCAGCAGGGCCTATGGGGGCTTATGGGCCTCATTTCTATGGCCGGCTTGGCCCGTGGATGCGTGTACCCCAGGGCCATCAAGCAGCTCAACAACGACGTCTATGGGAAGAAGGATTTGGAGCTCAGCTGGAACTGGAATTGCCCGGAGACCCTTTCCTTGAAGCAGAAGAAAGGCGATACCATCGGAGCGGCATCGGAGCCTTGAGCGGGCGGCTGGACAGTTCTGGCAGCAGTCAATTTTGCACGTCATTTGCAAAGGTCTGAGGACTCTGTGCAAAACCTAGCACTGAGGTTCACTCATGTCCTTGTTTTTGCATTCACCCTTGTCTTGAATGTCGGACAGTTCTGTCTCCTTGAGACGTACTGCTGCGAAGAAGAGTCGCAAGAAAAAGACAGCAGCGGCCAGACAAGAGGGCACACGCTTATTTGTGTCCTTGTTGGTCTTGTGCTTAGTGCTGAAATGCGCAACCCCAAAGCTGGATGTGGTCGGCTTTGGCTTTCTTTTGCACCCTAGACGAAGGTTTCCCCAAAGGAGAGACCGAAAGTGAGGGTGCACAACCCATGCTTGTCCCTTTTGCTTTCATTTCCCCAAGCAGCGCCTCTTCTCAAGCGAGCTCTTCCTCAACGCCTCTACCAACTCAGTCAGCATGGCAGAGAAGGAAGTGGCGGTGCTGGGTTGCGGCGGCGCTCCGTCGCTTCCGCCGAGCTGGGCCAGTCTGGTCACAGACTCGGACTGGCAAGCGACGACCAAGGCGCTGGACAGAGCGTCGAACATCATGGGCTTGATTTTTTTGGCCTGGGCCGTCGTGCTGGCGGGCATCGTCGCGGCGCTCGCCTTCTCACTGGACCAGCAGGGCCTATGGGGGCTTATGGGCCTCATTTCTATGGCCGGCTTGGCCCGTGGATGCGTGTACCCCAGGGCCATCAAGCAGCTCAACAACGACGTCTATGGGAAGAAGGATTTGGAGCTCAGCTGGAACTGGAATTGCCCGGAGACCCTTTCCTTGAAGCAGAAGAAAGGCGATACCATCGGAGCGGCATCGGAGCCTTGAGCGGGCGGCTGGACAGTTCTGGCAGCAGTCAATTTTGCACGTCATCAGCAAAGGTCTGAGGACTCTGTGCAAAGCCTAGCACTGAGGTTCACTCATGTCCTTGTTTTTGCATTCACCCTTGTCTTGAATGTCGGACAGTTCTGTCTCCTTGAGACGTACTGCTGCGAAGAAGAGTCGCAAGAAAAAGACAACAGCGGCCAGACACGAGGGCACACGCTTATTTGTGTCCTTGTTGGTCTTGTGCTTAGTGCTGAAATGCGCAACCCCCAAAGCTGGATGTGGTCGCCTTTGGCTTTCTTTTGCACCCTAGACGAAGGTTTCCCCAAAGGAGAGACCCGAAAGTGAGGGTGCACAACCCATGCTTGTCCCTTTTGCTTTCATTTCCCCAAGCAGCGCCTCTTCTCAAGCGAACTCTCCCTCAACGCCTCGCCCAACTCAGTCAGCATGGCAGAGAAGGAAGTGGCGGTGCTGGGTTGCGGCGGCGCTCCGTCGCTTCCGCCGAGCTGGGCCAGTCTGGTCACAGACTCGGACTGGCAAGCGACGACCAAGGCGCTGGACAGAGCGTCGAACATCATGGGCTTGATTTTTTTGGCTTGGGCCGTCGTGCTGGCGGGCATCGTCGCGGCGCTCGCCTTCTCACTGGACCAGCAGGGCCTATGGGGGCTTATGGGCCTCATTTCTATGGCCGGCTTGGCCCGTGGATGCGTGTACCCCAGGGCCATCAAGCAGCTCAACAACGACGTCTATGGGAAGAAGGATTTGGAGCTCAGCTGGAACTGGAATTGCCCGGAGACCCTTTCCTTGAAGCAGAAGAAAGGCGATACCAGCGGAGCGGCATCGGAGCCTTGAGCGGGCGGCTGGACAGTTCTGGCAGCAGTCAATTTTGCACGTCATCAGCAAAGGTCTGAGGACTCTGTGCAAAGCCTAGCACTGAGGTTCACTCATGTCCTTGTTTTTGCATTCACCCTTGTCTTGAATGTCGGACAGTTCTGTCTCCTTGAGACGTACTGCTGCGAAGAAGAGTCGCAAGAAAAAGACAACAGCGGCCAGACACGAGGGCACACGCTTATTTGTGTCCTTGTTGGTCTTGTGCTTAGTGCTGAAATGCGCAACCCCCAAAGCTGGATGTGGTCGCCTTTGGCTTTCTTTTGCACCCTAGACGAAGGTTTCCCCAAAGGAGAGACCCAAAAGTGAGGGTGCACAACCCATGCTTGTCCCTTTTGCTTTCATTTCCCCAAGCAGCGCCTCTTCTCAAGCGAACTCTCCCTCAACGCCTCGCCCAACTCAGTCAGCATGGCAGAGAAGGAAGTGGCGGTGCTGGGTTGCGGCGGCGCTCCGTCGCTTCCGCCGAGCTGGGCCAGTCTGGTCACAGACTCGGACTGGCAAGCGACGACCAAGGCGCTGGACAGAGCGTCGAACATCATGGGCTTGATTTTTTTGGCTTGGGCCGTCGTGCTGGCGGGCATCGTCGCGGCGCTCGCCTTCTCACTGGACCAGCAGGGCCTATGGGGGCTTATGGGCCTCATTTCTATGGCCGGCTTGGCCCGTGGATGCGTGTACCCCAGGGCCATCAAGCAGCTCAACAACGACGTCTATGGGAAGAAGGATTTGGAGCTCAGCTGGAATTGGAATTGCCCGGAGACCCTTTCCTTGAAGCAGAAGAAAGGCGATGCCATCGGAGCGGCATCGGAGCCTTGAGCGGGCGGCTGGACAGTTCTGGCAGCAGTCAATTTTGCACGTCATCAGCAAAGGTCTGAGGACTCTGTGCAAAGCCTAGCACTGAGGTTCACTCATGTCCTTGTTTTTGCATTCACCCTTGTCTTGAATGTCGGACAGTTCTGTCTCCTTGAGACGTACTGCTGCGAAGAAGAGTCGCAAGAAAAAGACAACAGCGGCCAGACACGAGGGCACACGCTTATTTGTGTCCTTGTTGGTCTTGTGCTTAGTGCTGAAATGCGCAACCCCCAAAGCTGGATGTGGTCGCCTTTGGCTTTCTTTTGCACCCTAGACGAAGGTTTCCCCAAAGGAGAGACCCGAAAGTGAGGGTGCGCAACCCATGCTTGTCCCTTTTGCTTTCATTTCCCCAAGCAGCGCCTCTTCTCAAGCGAACTCTCCCTCAACGCCTCGCCCAACTCAGTCAGCATGGCAGAGAAGGAAGTGGCGGTGCTGGGTTGCGGCGGCGCTCCGTCGCTTCCGCCGAGCTGGGCCAGTCTGGTCACAGACTCGGACTGGCAAGCGACGACCAAGGCGCTGGACAGAGCGTCGAACATCATGGGCTTGATTTTTTTGGCCTGGGCCGTCGTGCTGGCGGGCATCGTCGCGGCGCTCGCCTTCTCACTGGACCAGCAGGGCCTATGGGGGCTTATGGGCCTCATTTCTATGGCCGGCTTGGCCCGTGGATGCGTGTACCCCAGGGCCATCAAGCAGCTCAACAACGACGTCTATGGGAAGAAGGATTTGGAGCTCAGCTGGAACTGGAATTGCCCGGAGACCCTTTCCTTGAAGCAGAAGAAAGGCGATACCATCGGAGCGGCATCGGAGCCTTGAGCGGGCGGCTGGACAGTTCTGGCAGCAGTCAATTTTGCACGTCATCAGCAAAGGTCTGAGGACTCTGTGCAAAGCCTAGCACTTCTCACTGGACCAGCAGGGCCTATGGGGGCTTATGGGCCTCATTTCTATGGCCGGCTTGGCCCGTGGATGCGTGTACCCCAGGGCCATCAAGCAGCTCAACAACGACGTCTATGGGAAGAAGGATTTGGAGCTCAGCTGGAACTGGAATTGCCCAGAGACCCTTTCCTTGAAGCAGAAGAAAGGCGATGCCATCGGAGCGGCATCGGAGCCTTGAGCGGGCGGCTGGACAGTTCTGGCAGCAGTCAATTTTGCACGTCATCAGCAAAGGTCTGAGGACTCTGTGCAAAACCCAGCACTGAGGTTCACTCATGTCCTTGTTTTTGCATTCACCCTTGTCTTGAGTCGTACTGCTGCGAAGAAGAGTCGCAAGAAAAAGAGAACTGCGGCCAGACACGAGGGCACACGCTTATTTGTGTCCTTGTTGGTCTTGTGCTTAGTTCCCAGTTGGTCGGGCCTCTTTGAGTCTTCCCGAGGACTCTTTGCGCCTCGGGGCCGCGAAATCATGTTTATGGGGCTGGAAGCCCGTTCCAAAGTAGTCGGGATCCCCCCCCTAAAGCCAGGGACACCCCGAATAAACAGGGGTTTGTTTGAAAAAAACAGGGTCAACATTGCATTGGTCTCCCGATTCCAATGCTTCGCAGGCGGGGCGTCAAGAAGAAGCCCGGCAACATGAAGCTCTCGGAGCACTGGGCGTCTGGGGCCCAAGAGAGGGCCAGCTCAACCTCTGCGGATCCTGGAAACCAGCAACCTCACGTGAGCCACGTCCTCAAAACCCGGGTAGATGAAGGTTAGGGGCAGTCCCAGCCAGAAATAGTTGCGGCCGCCTTCTTAATTCTTTACATGGTTCTGAGACCTTTTTAATACCGGGTTTTGATTGTGACTCACGTCCCAAACTGATCAAATGGTACGTTGCCAAACCGATGTTAGAAGCCCTACGTCGCCAAAAGCAAGCAGATCTATAGAAAACTTATAGATCCGGGAAAATGGCAGGCTTCCTTCCCTTTGCCATGTTTGCCAACTTGAACTTCGATGGCGTCCCCATGGGCCCAAGAACCTCATCGAAGGCGGACGTGGTGCCCCACTCGCAACTGAGCTAAGCGTTCATCGCGACGTTGATCTTTGATCCTTCGATGCCGGCTCTGCCTTTGCAATCAAGGTCAGTACGAGAGGAACCCTTCTTTTATTCTCGGCCAAGAAGACTAGCTGGAGAACTAGTACCATGAAACTATCATTTGCTGGATTATGACTGAACGCCTCTAAGTGGCTAAGCAGCGTTGCGCACCATTCCCATTGCGAAACGCCGACTTTTGGAGCATTCCAGACCCCGTTAGAGGCACAGGGGCGCATTGCAATCTTGAAGTCGCTGGGGCGACACACTTCGGCTTGCCATTCGCTTCACCTCTCCGTGGGGCCATGGGCCATCGCAGGCTACCCTGGATGCCCCGGCGGGTGCTTTTCCTGCGCGTGCGCGACGCCTTCATGGCGCGGATCGGATCGCGGCGCTTCGGAACTTCTCGCTGGA